GGAATGCCACCTCCAACAGTGTGAGCAGACTCAAGCCTATCATTTATACCAACTTACTTCAATTAAACTTTCTTGTGTTTCTATCCCCATCACTTCACATTTACTAATTGGAACAGTCCACTCATTCATGCCCATTCAGAAGCAGACAGTGATGAACATGCAACCCTAAAACCTCAACATTGCATTTTCATCATCCCGAGGGGATGGGCACCAGAACTTTTACAAACCCAAAACCTGACCAGCACACTGCCCTGATCTTGGACATGGGGTTTTTTCTGCTCTTTAGTGATTCCTATTCATCCTTTCTCCCTTTTTCTCCTCTTCTAGTTTCCAAAAAACAAGCCCTCAGTGAATATCATTGAAGCATGACAGCCTGCCATCTGATAGATGGACTCCATTCCTCACTCTCACTTCCTGCCTCTGAGCCTTGATGACTAGGGAGGTGAAATATTGTTGGAGCAATTTGGAAAGAGACCTTAGTGATTGTCACTTGCTGGCATACACCTCCTCGTCTCTGTTCTGCAAAACATCTGGCCAGAAAGAAAAATCCTGGGGAAAAAAAACCAACCCACCAACAACCAAAAACCTGAAACCCCAAAATTAAGATGGAAAAGCATCAGTGAGATAACTGCTGCCAGTGATCCCACCCGGAGTCATGAATCACCTGGGCTGGACAACTCATGCAGGTCTCTCCGCCCTCACACTCCATCTTCTGGAAGAGTTTTCCTGTCTTTGGAAGTGTACAAGGGTTTGTTGTATCTTTATTTTGTCTCACTGTCAGTACATCTTGACAGTGTTGAGGTGAGCTCAGGCATCAGTCACTGTCACTCCAAGTGAGAAAGGAGAAAAGCTCATCACAGACACAATGAGCAACCAGATTGCTGCTGCTGTGTGCACTTGGCTTGCTTTGTTCCGTGGATGTGTGTTGTGTAGCACGTCTTGCAGGTGGGTTTTTCAAGCAAACCCAGAAAAAAGGCATATCCCAGTTTCCATTCCCACTGCAGAGGCTTCCCTGGTGTCCTCCACCAGTTAGGCTGCAGCACGTCTCCACTGTTGCTGTTCCTCCCATCTCACACTGGTGCTCTTCATCTCGAACCATCAGGGCACGCTGAGCACTGAGGCACAGACCAAGATGAAGGGACACCACCAGACACCAGAAGGATAATTTCAACCATTTTCTTCATGTTATTTTCAGCTGGGCCCAAGTCCACCCCCAGTGTGAGAGAAGGTCCATAAAAATGTAGCCAGTCAGCAAAAAACAAAAGACAAACCTCCTGATACCGGTTGCTATGCAAGGTCTCCAGTGGCAACAGCTATTTACTGCTAAAGGCTCTTGCCCAAGGGACCTTTTTCTGAGGGCTTAAGTTCTTAAATTGCTTCTTTCAGTAGGGTTCCCGTGGGAAGGTCTGGTTCTCCTTACACGTCCTGTCTGCACTGTTCCTGTGATGCTGTAACGCAGGGATCTGCTGGAGGCAGCCCTCCAGCAAAAGGTGGACAAGGAACGGGAAAGAGGCTGGAATTCTCTTCTCTCTTATGAAGTGCTTGATGTTTGTAAGCTGACAGGATCCCCGGGACTGCTGGTTGCTCTGGAAGCTGGTAGAGGCAAGTCCATCACATGGAAAAGATAATTCTTTGTAGTGTGCCATGGGGTATCTGTATTTAATTACTCCACAAGACCACTCCATATGCACTAGGGGATGAGGCAAGAATCTACTTGTTCCATCAGATACCAGGTTGGCCTGAGAAGGGATCAAACCTCTTAAAAACCTGCACTCACATGAGCCTGGCTTCAAAGTCCCTGCAAAGAAACAGGCTGGCAGGAAGAGTTCAGCCATCTCTCCTCTTCCACTGTCACCAGCCTTGCCAAAAGAGTCAGTTTGAGGGAAAGGCACTAGGAAGTCCACATGCAGATGTGGTGGTGAACAACTAAGGGCTTCCCTGGTGCCAGTTTCCAAAGGCAGGCCAACCCCAAAGGTCTCTTCAGTGGATCCTTTGCCAGAACATACTCCTCCATCACCAAGAGGGAGAGGTCACCACCTCCGAAACAGACAGAGCAATAAACATTTTATAATGTACAATAAAAGATTAAAGGCATCTCTTGTGTCCTTGTAACGACTGAATTGAGTCATTCATGGTCACTGGAACAAGGGGACTTTCAGTGCATTGCCCAGAGACTACAGCATGAAGTGTTTTCTCAGTGTCTGGGTGTTGAAAATCAGAACAGTTCAGAGTTCACTCTGTTTGCAGGATAAGGGGAGGGGGAACTTGCTAGGTACAGCTGTAATGCTATTTATGTTGCAAGATTCTTCAGACATGGCTGTTCTCTCTGAAGAAAGAAATGCCATTTGGAATCCATACCCCTCTAAAGGGAGATTTAGGACAGATGGTACAGCACGTGCAAAATGACAAGGGAGATGCTCACTCCTTGTTTGGTAGAGAAGACTTAGATGTTGGTGTAGAGTTGAGTGTTCACACCACAGTGTGGCAGGAGGCAAGAGGTTATCACTATGTTCCATAACTGCAGGCTTTAAAAGGTAATAATGCTATTAGTGAGAGGAAACAGATGTAGGCTGGCAGCAACTCAACTCATCAGAAAGGCACTCCAGCTACCTAATTCCAATGATTCTCTTAAAGGAAGTGTTTTCAGCAACTCTAAATTGATGCAGTAAGTCCACGCTTTAGGAAAGTTTCCTGTTACAGGAGAAGAAAGCTCCTTAAGATCCTACTTTTCTGAAGGTCACAAACATCAAAGCTTTAATTGCTGCTTCAGCATCAACTTCGACCACAACCCGTGAGTCAGACACCATTAAGACTCTGGGCCTGTGTGAGCTCCAGCCTAAGCCCATCTTTGGCAGCAATACCTCATTCTTGTCAAAGGTTGCCAAAAGATACTCCCAAGGTGTTTTACAGGCAATAAAATGAGCAAGGAAAAAACAAACAAGCCAGTGCTGAGCAAAGTGATGTTGGGCCACAGAAGGCAGCACCCTAAAGGCCACCCGCACTTCCCCACATGCCTTTGCCCGACTGATTTTGAGTGCTTGTTGGAAGCAGGAGCTGGGAAAGGGAGGTTTCAGTAAGTACTAAAAAGCAGCAGCAGGAGTGGGCTGCACAACAGGGATCCTGGAGAGCAAGAACTGGTTCCCTACTGATCTCAAAAGCAAAGGAGAGCAGCCTTCCAGCCAGGTCCCCTGATGCCATTCCACCCCTGGGTGCTAATCCCATTGGTGTCCAAGAATCAGCTGAGCAGGGACTATGGGCACAGGAAGGAGCAAGAAGCTGCAACAGAGCCCTTTGCCAGCATATGCAGTGTGTGTTTAAAGCTAAGCACCACTTGCCTTCATCCTTCCAAGCACTGCAATATTATGCCTACAAGTACCATTGAGCCAATGTATTCCTCCCCCATGAGTTTAGTGAGAGGGAGCTGCAGGAGGTGGTGTGGAGCAAACAATCCTGCCCAGCATGTCCTTCCCCTTCCCAACACAGCACCAGCCCCTTCACCACCACCTCCCCCTGCACTGTTCTCCATCTCCTCCAAGGAAAATGAGAACATGAGGCATTTTATTCCCCGACAGCTCAATAGCATCAGAGGAGGAAACACC